TGTTTTGGAATATCGCCAGCACTACCCCCACCAAAAAAAAACACTGCATATACAAAAAACAAAAAACAAATGGACATAGACACATATACACATGATATGACATGATATACACTATATACCGTATACCCAGTACATGCTTCCACATTCCAGAGTTGCTGTCGGACACCCACCAATACCCCAATATCATCAGGAACCAAGATTGATATCATATAATATAACAAAGTAAACTGTAATATCATAGCATATAATATAATAATAGTATAATATAATATAATATATAATAACATAATATAATATAATATAAACCAAAGTTTAATATAATATATAAAAAAACACAATAACATATAATATCATCGAATATAAAAATATTGAAATATATTATAATATTTCAAATTATGGTATAGTATAAACTAATAAAATATCATATGATATGATATAATAACATACAATATATATAACATACTATGATATAATATTTGAAAAAAAAAACATATGATATTATAAGCAATAATATAAAAGTATTGTTATATTATAAAATATGAGAAGATATAATATAGTATGGTATGATATAAATAACAAATGATTTAATATAAAATCATATGAAATGAAAACCAAATAAAATAGAATATAATACCAGCTAGAACCGCACAAGGCGGTGGCGGAAGTTTCAGAATAGGAAACCTATAGGAGAGGTGCGTTGTTTTGAGTCATGGATGGCAGAGCAGATCCACTGATGGATCGAAAAGTGGTTGGAGCGTCGGCCTATCTATCTGTCTATCTATCTGCCTGCCTAACTAACTGACTAACTGACTGACTACCTGACTGACTAACTAACTAACTAACTAACTGACTAACTGACTAACTGACCAACTAACTCACTAACTCACGAACTCACTAACTAACTAACGAACGAACGAACTAACTGACTAACTGACTGACTAACTGACTAACTGACCAACTGACTAACTGACTAACTGACTGACTAACTGACTGACTAACTGACTAACTGACTAACTGACTAACTGACTAACTGACTAACTGACTAACTGACTAACTGACTAACTGACTAACTGACTAACT